CAGAGAACCTGATGCTTTCCTAGCATACAACCACACCCCAGCTGCACTCCAGCGGGTGAGAATATATACTTTATCTGCCCTGCCTTCTTCTATGAGGATGAAATATTTTAAAGCGAACATTGGAATTGTCAGGCTTCTGCACTGTACTAAAGTTTATTTTAGGTTGCAGTGTCCGTAGTACAATTTATGCTTTCTGTGACGGCAGGAAACACTGGGGTGCCCCTACTATACCTAAATCCTTGTAAAGTTCTTTCCTACTCTCCTTTCCAGAATTTACATAGGGGAGAGGCAGTGCAGCGTGGTGGCAGGGCACCGACACAACTTGACACTTTTTATTGTATACGACAATGGTTACAGACCACAAAGGTTCAGGAGGCCCCACTGCTTGGGCCCAACAAAAGACAGTATTTGCCCTCTCAATTCAGAGTCCTCTGGGCTGCGAGGGGACAGGCTTTTTCCTACATGGCTCTGGAAGAAGGTCCAGGACAGTACTCAGTACAAGAAGAGCCACATCTGAGCCTAGCTGTACGGGGGTGGGTGGATAAGGTGGGCCAGCCTCATCTCAATCACTTGGGTGTGACCCTGAAGACACGGATGTGGATGGCCGAGTTGTTGCGGATCCGGGTCAGCGGCTCTCGCGTATCAATCTCTGGTTCCAGTTCATCGACAAGCTCCACGGTGGAGGTATTGGCAGCCACCTGCAAGGACCCGAAGCTGCCAGCCTGCAGCTGTAGGGCAATGTTGATGGCGCGGTTGATGGCCAGGCCCAAGCCGTGGATGTAGATCTCACTGCATGCGTTCTGACCCCGAGCCCCTCCATCCAGCAGTTTCTGGCAGCGGGCCAGCTGGGCCTTGAAGTCAGTCTTCATGTTGACATAAATGTCATTGGGCCTCCGGGGCAGGCGGTGGGGGAGCCGCTTCCGCAGGGTGTACTCCACCGGGTCCAGCTCAGCCTCGACGGCTCCGCGGGGCTCTCGGTTTTCGGCCATGCTGTGTGCCCTGGCACGGGGAAGAGACGAGATCAGCCAGGGGTGACGAGCGACCAACGCTTCCTTTCCCACCCCGTTTCCTGCCCAAAGGGTGAAGCCGGAAGAAGGCGCACTCGACGCCTCTATTCCCTTCCACTCACCTCAAGCTCCCGCATCTCCCCCACCCCCAGTTCCTACTCATTCACCACATCGCCCCCAACCTCCAGGCCCCTCCACCGCCCCCTTTCCCCAGCTCTTCCGCGCCTACTCTCTCCGGTCCACAGTGCTCTCCACGCGCCGCGGCCCGCTCCCCTGCCAGGGCACTCAAGCGTTGCGCCGACCGGCCGGAATATAGGGCGCTTCTCGCGACCCCCAGGCCCCAAGAAGGAAAGGTGAACACCGCCGGAACGCTCGAGCGCTAGAACCCAGCCGGCTCCTGGCTCCTGGCTCCTGAAAAGGGTGCCGAGTGCGCACGCGCGCTCGGCCCCTGCAGCCAAGCCCGCGGGATCCACGAATCGCCTTCCTGGCCTCCGTTCTCCCGCCCCTTTCCTGAGAGCTCGCAAAACCGCGCGATGTGTTTGAGTAACGCGAGGCTTCCGGGGGTGATGGGATCTACCACGTGTACGCCTCCCAGGCGGGGCGCAGAGGCAGGAGGCGTGTACCAAGTCGGAGCTGGGGAGGGTCTGGGAAGGGGAGGTCAGCTTTCCTGGGCCAATCCGAGTCCCCGGTTCGCGGAGGTGTCCCGAAGGGGAGAGGGGAGGAGAGGAGGCTATTGTAGGGGCGTGGAGGATTTGGGGGTAAGGGTCTTCCAAAGATAGTAGGGAGGGCAGCGAGTTCCATAGAACGTGATCGCGAAGGGGTCTGAAGTCAAGTCTGCCCTCTCGCGTCCATCGCAGTTCCTCGGGTCAGAGGAGGTGTGGCAGAGTTGGCAGAACTGACCTCCCGCCCAAGGTTCCTGTTGCCCAAAGACCGAGGGCGGGTAACGAGTGGCGAGGCCCAGCCCTTGGCGAAGGACAGCTCTCCGGGACTCCTCTGCAGTTCACGGGGACCCGTCCTTCTTCCCTGCGTCTGGCAGGGCTGACCTCCCAGGCCAGCCCCTGGGGACGCGAGCTATGAACCGCAGGTCCAGGCTTCACAGCTCCCCTGGGCCCCCCTGACCCACTCGCACCCCTCCACCACCCCCACCCGCCGCCAGCTCTTCGGTCACTGCCCAACACCTGGGAGTACGGACGTGCGCCCCCTGGCGGGAAAGTGCAGGGCAACACCTGGGGGTTGGTGGCTCCCCAAGACCAGTGGGAAGGGGCTTTCTGCCCAGATTGGTTTAGCTTCTGTAGAGTTCCATTTGAAAATGAGTTAGACCTGCAGTGAGGACCTCAGTTCCCTCATCACTCAAATGGGGATGAGAATTCCTGTCTTGCTACTGAGTTGCAAAACTCAATATAACCTTACAAACTGTAAGCCTACACGTTAGCTTTTTTTTTAATTAAAAAAAAATTATTTATTTGGCCGTGCTGGGTCTTAGTTGTGGCATGCGGGCTTTTAGTTGCAGCATGTGGGATCTAGTTCCCTGACCGGGGATGGAACCCGGGTGCCCTGCATTGGGAGCGAGGAGTCTTAACCACTGGACCACCAGGGACGTCCCTGAGCTGGCATTTTTATGCACACCGCCCCCCCACCCCCACCCCAGACCTCTCTCTAGTTGCCTGGGGTAGAGTCTGACCCCAGTTGACTGGAGGTTGGAAAGAGGCCAGGCTCCTGAGAACTTCTCTCCCAGCACCATTTAAATCCTGTGGTTCTTTTAGCTTCAGATTCTTACAAGTTTGGGGGGTTATTTGGGGTTGAAGAGGAAATGCTGGCTACAACCTTACTCCATCTCAGAAGTGACATCTGAACAGAGTTTTGATGGACAAACAGGAATTCTTCAGGGAAGCAAGGAGTATTCTGGAAACACTGAACAGTATTTTTAAAAGAATGGAAGCAAAACCTAAGCTTCCACCTCAAGGAACTAGAAAAAGTAAGGCCAAAGGGAGAAGATGGGAGGAAATAATAAAGAGCAAATATAAATGAAACTGAACACAGAAAAACAATAAAGAAACTCAAACCAGAAGCTGGTTCTTTGACAAAGTCAATAAAATTGACCTCTAGCAAGACTGACAAAAAAGAGAGAACAAGAAAAAGAAGACTCAAATTATGATTATCAGAAATGAAAGAGGGGATAGCACTAAAGATCCCATAAACATTGAATTATACTTGGAGAACAACACAAACAACTCTACACACATAAATTTCACAGCTTAGATAAAATGGACCAGCTCCTAGAAAACAAACTACCAAACTAACCCAAGATGAAGTAGATCATCTGAATAACTCTGTAACTATTAAGGTAATTAAATTCATAGTTAAAAAAAAATTTAGAACAAGAAATATCTAGGCCCACATGGTTTTACTGGTGAATTCTACCACGCACACAAAAAAAGGAAGTAACACAAATTCTACACAATCTCTTCCAGAAAACAGAAGAGGAAGGTACATTTCCTAATTAATTTTATGAGGCCAAAACCAGACAAAGATAATACAAAAGAAGAAAAATCACAGATGGATACCTCTCATGAACAACACAAAAAATCTTCAACAAAATGTTAGCAAACTGAATCCAGCAGTATATAAAAAGAATGATATCCACAACCAAGTATAGTTTATTCCAAAGATGCAGGACTGGTTCAGTGTAAGAAAACCAATCAGTATTATCTACCATATTAACAAGTTAAAGAAAAAAACACATACAATAATGTCAATTGATACAGAAAAACCACTTAAATAATTTAGTACCCATTTATGATAAGAGCTCTTAGCAAAAAGAGAATGGAAGGAACTTCCTCAACCTGGTAAAGAGCATCTACAAAAAAACTACAGCTTCCCATCATACTTAATGGTGTAAGAGTGGACACCTTTCTCTTAAAATCAAGAACAAGGAAAGGATGTCATCTCTCACCACTCTCATTGTTGGAAGTCCCAGCCAGTGCAATAAGGCAAAGAAAAGATTGTAAAGGAAGAAAAAAAACTGTCTCTATTTGCAGATGACATGATTGTGTATACATAAAAAGTCCCAAGGAATCTAAAAAAACATAATTAATAAATTAGCTTATTAGCAAGTTTGCAGGATACAAGATTAACATACAAAAATCAATTGTAGGGCTTCCCTGGTGGCGCAGTGGTTAGGAATCCGCCTGCCAATGCAAGGGACACGGGTTCGAGCCCTGGTCCAGAAAGATCCCACATGCCACGGAGCAACTAAGGCTGTGCGCCACAACTATTGAGCCTGTGCTCTAGAACCCGCGAGCCACAACTACTGAAGCTTGTGTGCCTAGAGCCCGTGCTCCGCAACAGAAGACACCATTGAGAAGCCCGCACACCACAACGAAGAGTAGCCCCCACGCGCTGCAACTAGAGGAAGCCCGTGCGCAGCAACAAAGACCCAAGGCAGCCAAAAAAAAAAAAAAAAAAGTTAAAAAAAAATCAATTGTATTCTATGTACTGGCAATAAACAGCTGGAAACCAAAATTTAAAATCATTTACAATCACTCCAGAGAGAGAGGGGAAGGGGGAGGAGGAAAGGAGGGGGAGCGAAAAATATTTAAGTATAAATGTAACAAAACATGTACAAACTCTGCTTAAAACTACAAAATGCTAATCAAAGATCTAAATTAATGGAGACATATACTGTGTCCACGTATTGGAATATTCAACATAGTATAGATGTCAATTCTCTCCAAATTTAATGCAATTCCTATGAAAATCCCAGCAAGAAGTTTTGTAGATGTAAATAAGTTTATTGTAAAATTTATATGGCAAGGCAAGAGAAGTTAAAGCAATTTTGAAAAACAAAAAGTTGGAATCACACCACCTGATTTTAAGACTTACTGTGTAAACACAATATCAAGACAGTGTGATATCTGCCAAGGGACAGACACAAAAATCAATAAAATGGAATAGAGAACCTAGAAATAGATTCACACAAGTACAGCCAGCTGATTTTTTTTTTTTTAAGAAACTGTTTATTTTCCATCAACCTATTTCCATTTTAAGAGTTTGTGGAAGAACTGCTTAAGACCACTCAGTGCTTGTTCCCACCCACTCAGCGGCCTGAGCAGTGGGAGCTGCAGACCAGTGTTCAGTGGCAGGTTGAGCACTCCAGCCTCCAGTGGGGAGCTACTGAAGAGGCACGGGGACACCTGCACACCTTTGGACCAGTCCACCACCTGGACTGGTAGCAGTGAACTCAGGAGCTGGAGCAATCCATTCACCCTGAAATTCCTCCTTGGTCACAGCCTTCTCAGCTGCTGCCTGCTCATCCTTTTCAATCTCTCCAGGATCTCTGTAGAAGTAGAGATCAGGCATGACCTCCCATGGGTGTTCACGGGAGATGGTGCCACGCATGCGCAGAACTTCCCCGGCAAGCATCCACCACATCAGACCCACTGGGATGGAGTGAGCTCCCTTGTTGTTGCATGGGATGGCAATGTCCACATTATCGCAGAGGAGAGTCTGCGTTACACAGAGCAATGGTAGACAGGTTAACGTAAGAGGCCTCTGGGAGAGGCAGGTGGTCAGCCCTGGGATCAGTAACCACCGGAAGTCTTGGCTCCCGGAAGGCTGCCTGGAGCTGGTTAGTGAAGGTTCCAGGAGTGAAGCGGCCAGCAATAGGAGTGGATCCAGTGGCAGCAGCAAACTTCAGCCCAGCTTGCTGGCCAGTATTCCTGGAGGATATGACACTGACATCAGCTGGGTTTTCAATGGCAACAGTGGCATGAGCTGCCAACAGAAGCTTCTCCCAGGTTCTCTTCAGATTTATTATGTAGATGTCATCACTTTTCCTTTTGTAGGTGTACTGTTCCACTTGGAAGCCAAGGTTGGTGCCACCTAAGTGGGTTCCTGCTGCAAGGAATTTGAGGACATCCTCCTCCTTCATTTGCAGGACATCAAAGGCTCTGGAAATTGTGAAAGTTTCCCTTTAAGTTACGATGGGAGTCCAGAACAACGCCGTATGGACCCCTGTCTGGCTGGCGCGGAAAAGCCAGCCAGCTGATTTTTGGCAAAGGTGCAAAAGCAGCTGAATGGGGAAAGAATGAGTCTTTTCAGCAAGTGGTGCTAAAACAACTGAATAAATAGGCAAAGAACTGAACCTCAGCCCTATGCAAAAAATTAACACAAAATGGATGGTAGATCTAAACATAAAATGGAAAATTATAAAACTTTTAGAAGAAATATAGGGAAAAAGTCTTCACGACATAGGGTCAGGTAAAGAGTTCTTAGATACAACTCCAAAGGCACGATCCATTAAAGAAAAAAATTGAGGACTTCCCTGGTGGCACAGTGGTTGGGAGTCCACCTGCTAGTGCAGGGGACATGGGTTCGAGCCCTGGTCCGGGAGGATCCCACATGCCGTGGAGCAGCTGAGCCCGTGTGCCACGGCTGCTGAGCCTGCGCTCTAGAGCCTGTGAGCCACAGCTGCTGAGCCCACGTGCCACAACTACTGGGGCCCGGCGTGCCTGAAGCCCGTGCTCCACAGCATGGGAGGCCACTGCAATGAGAGGCCCGCACACTGCAGCGAAGAGTGGCCCCCGTTCGCCACAAATGGAGAAAGCCCATGCACAGCAACGAAGACCCAATGCAGCCAAAAATAAATAAATAAATATGTGAAAAGTAATATATGCTTTAAAAAAAACCTGATAAATTGTACTTCATCAAAATTAAAAACTTTTACTCTGTGAAAGACCACCCAGCCACGGACTGCGAGAAAATACCTGCAAATCACATATCCAACAATGGACTTGTATCCAGAATAAAGAACTCTCTAAATTCAAGCGTTAGAAAACAACTCAGTTACGGACTTCCCTGGTGGTCCAGAGGCTAAGACTCCGTGCTCCCAATGCAGTGGGCCCGGGTTCCATCCCTGGTCAGGGAACTAGATCCCACATGCTGCAACTAAGAGTTCGCATGCTCCAACTGAAAGATCCCGCATGCCACAACGAAGATCCCGAGTGCTGCAACTAAGACCTGGCGCAGCCGAAAAAAACAAAACCAAACAAACAAAAATAGAAAATGGGCAAAAGTCTTGAACAGAGGGTTCTTTAGCAAAGAGGGTATAAGGATGACAAATAAGCACATAAGATGTTCAACACAGCCATTATGGAAATGCAAATTAAAACCATGATGAGATGCCACTGCCCACCTATTAGAATGTCTAAAATTAAAAATTTTGACAATACTAAGTGTTTAGGAGAATGCAGAGAAACTGGATCTCTCATACACTGTTTGTGGGAATTTTCAATGGTCCAGCCACTCCGGAAAATAGTTCGGCAGCTTCTTCTAAAATTAAACATACACTCACCATATGACCCAGCAAGAGCACACATGGGAATTTACAAACTCGTACACAAATGTCCATAGCAGTTTTTGTAATAGCAGTGTTTGTTAAAGCCCCAGACAGGAAACAACCCATGTGTCTTTCAATGGGTGACTGGTTAAAGTGTGGTACATCCCTACCATGGAATACTACTCAGCAATAAAAGTTGGATCAAGGAGACCCTTTAGGCTCCTGGAAGACTACATACATCCTAGAACAATACTGTGCTGAGCAGCTCAGAGTTTACTGTGGAAGGCAAACAAGATGAGCAAGACAGTGTGACCGCTGCTCAGCATGGAGCATGGATAGGGTTCAGTGGACCCTCAAGGAGGTACAGCCAATATGACCTTGGGGGGATGCCAGGTGTTCCACAGGACGCAATGGCTAAGGTGAGGCAGTAACGTCTAGCAGTTGGGCTCAGATCCTGTGCAGTACCTCCTGTTACAATGGAGAGGTCTGGAAGGTCTGAGCCCTGGGAGATAGGGAAGTAGGAGGGAACCAGCAAAGGATTCAGAAGGAGCAGCTGATGAGGTAGGAGGAAAACCAAGGGATAGGGTGATCTGGAGGCCAGGTGAAGAAAGCATTTCTTGGAGGAGGTAGTGACCAGCTGTGTCATATGCTGTTGGTAGGCCACAGGAGATAACAAACCAGTGGATTTAGCAATGTGGTGATTTTGCACTGGGGACTTGACAAGCATTTACACTTGATTGACCAAAGAACTTAGCTCATTAGAAAAAAAAGGCAGAGAGTTTGGCTGTTTACTCTTACTTGAGACTTCCCTTTCATCTCGATAAATCATCTAACCACAACTCTTTGTTTAGTTCAAAAGCTTCCAAATTCAAAATAACACAGACCAAGGCATTTTACAGCATAGTCTTGAATAAACCTGAATAAACAAAAATATCTTAGGTCCAAGTGATTTTCTTCATCCAAATTCTTTTCTTTAATTTTGTATGGGAGATTCACAGTTCTGATTTGTTTCCTTTCTCAGAGAGGGTGCTTATGCAATTCAATTTCCACAGTGTCATCAGCGGCAAACGCATTCTCACTTTACGGCTGGGGGAGATTACTTGGCCGGGATCACAAGCTGGTATACAGGAAACCCAGGGCGATCGATCAATTACTCCAATCTTCTACCTTGGAGTCCAGCGTGCTCTCCCTGACACAAAGCATCTGGTAGGTAGGTAGGTACTACTGTCCAATCAAAAACATTTTCATGATAGCATTCGAAGCCCTCAACTTAAGTTTCACTTCACTTCTCATCCAACTAGCAATCCAGGTCCTCTTCTCCCATCAGCCTGGCTTGTCACTATTCTAAAGCTGATGCTCACTTTTCTTAAATCTACCCAAATCCTGCCCTTCCTTCCTGCTCAGCACAGGCCACCACTGTCCCTGACTGCTTCCCCCTCACAGGGGTTTCCCCCCTCTTTCCCCTGTACCATTTCTCCACTATAATTTACAATCTCACATTTGCTAATTAATCATTAAAACAGGCCAAAAGGCTAAGACCTTATTCAGAGGGTAGGACACATCTAGGAAAGTGGGCGGGGGGGGGGGGGAAGCAACAACAAAAGCTTTGGAGTAAGAAAAAACAGCTGTCATAAACGTGAGAACTTTGTTCTAGAAGAACTTGATTGGAGATTGGATTCTGTTGATATATTTTCACACAGTTAACAATGTGAATATTGTGGACCCAGAAGGCCCCACTAGCTAACATTTGTGGAGTGCCTGCCCTATACCAAGCACTGTGTTAAGTGCTTTACCATACAATCCAGAGACTCAGAAATGAGTAAAGTTGCTCAAGGTCAGTATAGGATGGAACCAGCACATAAGCCCTCGCTTTAAACAATTGCATTTTCCAGCCTGTGAACAAGCAGCTTCACTGACTACACTGAGGCAGGAATCCTGACTGCCAGAAAGACAAGGGAACTGAAAAAAGCAGACACGAAAACTATAAGTGCATAGGAACCTGGGGTGTGCTCCGTGCAAGAACAAAGGGCCTTCCTGGTAGCTCCGGAGGTCGGCGCTCCGTTTTGGCGAAACACAGAGGACTCAAGTTCCAAGTCTGAATTTACCCTTCCCTGTCCTGAGGATTATATTGTTTTTGGTAACGGCTGTTTTAGGAAGCTGGGAAGTAGAGTATACATTCTGGCGTAACTTCCAAAGAAAATGGTGAAAACACACACAAGACTTTTTCATCCTAAAAAGTTCAGGGAATCGGAAAAGTCATTCTTGAAAACCTCCTTTTTAAACAAAGGCGGTGTCAATCTACTTCTCACATTTGCATAGTAGTTTCTCTCTTTCCGAAGCCTTTCACACTCACCTATTTTAATTCTTTCAGCACTCCGGAAGGGAGTGGAATGGGGGCCAGGGATGGGGCGGAGCAGAGCATCAATACCTTACTATAAAACAGAAACTGAGGCCCGACTGCGTCAACTCCTTCGCCCCCGAGGTCTAGGGGGCTAGTCGGTGGCGGAGCCAGAAAGAAACTCCAGGTCTCACCAGCCAGTGCTGCCTCGGACTTGTTTCTAAACCATTAGGTTCCTCGTTTATTTCGTATACCCCGGGGATGTCCGACGAACACACCTCTGGGTTGTACGTGGTCTCCTTCAATCCAGGCGGGCTTCCCGGAGGAAGCCGACCGTCCGGGAGGCGGGCGATGCCGCTAGCGGCGGCCTTCGTCGCGATGGTCGCGCATCGCGTGCGGAGGGGGGGGCAGCCGGGGAGCACCCCGGGGACACCCTCACAACCCCCCCGGCCCGCAGCAGGCTGTGTCACGTGAGGCACCGGGCTCCCAGGTCACGTGCCGGGGGGGG